CTCTCTCTCTCTCTCTCTCTCACACACACACACACACTCACACTCTCACACACACATTCACACACTCTCACTCACACACACACTCTCTTTCTCACACACACACACACACACACACTCACACACACACTCTCACACACACAACACACACACACACGTTTATTCCTGACAGTAATCTGGCACAAAGCAACAACTGGAAACACTTCACACACTGCCCTCGTTTCATCCGTGTGTGTGACGGCTGTTTGCCTTGTGTAAACACAAGTGTGAGTGTGTGTGTGTGTGTGTGTGTGTTGCTGTAGTGCTGGTGGTCTCTCAGCGGCCGCTCTGATTGGCCAGCGGCTCTGTAATTAACAGCCTCTTCTTTCTCCTCCTGACGCTTCAGTGAAATAATAATTGCAGCGTTCAAACCAGTGAATAATTGATAAGAAGGAAAGGTTAAATTGCAGTGGAGCTGAGCTGCTTCTCTGATTGTGAACCGTGTTTTATTCTGCTCAATCCTGAGTGTTTAAGAGTCTTTCCACCTGCTCAACGTGCAGTCCTAAAAATAAAGGGTGTTTTCACAGCGATGCCATGCCATAGAAGAGTTCTGGGTTCCTCAAAGAACCTTTCAGTGACCAATTCTTAAAAGAAAGTTTTTATATTATAAAGAACCTTTTGTGGAATGGAAAGCTTCAACACTCTTAAAAATAAAAGTATCTGTGGTTCCATGGAAAGGTTCTTTAGAAGATTAAAATGTTCTTCAGATTAAGACGAAATGGTTCTATTAAGAAGAAATTCTTAAATATAAAGGTTCTCTACTGGCGTTGACGGTTCTGTGAAGAACTTTTAACATCTGTAGAACCTTTCTGATGCAAAAAAAAGAAAAAATAGTTATTTTAAGAGCCGATCACTGAAAGGTTCTTCAAGGTACCAAAAATGATTCTTCTATTGAATCAGTGGAAGAGAGAGAGAAAAAAAACACTTTAGGAACCTTTATTTTTTAAGCATGGCTCTTAAAGATTCTTAACAATTTTAAAATGTTATTCACACAATGAAATCAGAGGTTCAACAGATCACAAAACTCAGGGTTCGGATCATATTGCGGCTTTTGAGTCATGGATCAAATAGTTTTTCAGATCATCAATTTAAAAAAAAAAGTATTAATTTGTTTATTCCTTAAAGCACACTTTAAGTACTTCTTCAAAACCACAGCAAAAACTACTAGCCTAATTAGTTTTTCAATCAATTTAAAAAAAAAAGTATTAATTTGTTTATTCCTTAAAGCACACTTTAAGTACTTCTTCAAAACCACAGCAAAAACTACTAGCCTAATGAAGAAAGTTCACACATGAATAAAGACAAGCGAACAGTCAGTACAAAAAGAACAAACACAAATTTCAAGCAGAGATAAACAAAGTTACAAATAAAATAAGGCCTAACATTACACTGTAAAAAAATTCTGTTAAATTTATGGTAAAAAACGGCAGCTGTGGTTGCCGGAATTTTACCGTAAAAAATACGGTAGCAACGTTTTAGGTTTTA